TTCATCCATGTTGTAGCACATGTCAGAATGTCGTAACTTTTTAAGGCCGAATAATATTCCATTGTATGTATACACCACATTTTGTGAATCCATTCATCCACTGATAGACATTTGGGTTGCTTCTACCTTTTGGTTATTGTGAATAATACTGCTGTGAACATGGGTATACTCAGATTTTGTATCTTACTGTCTAAATTTTTAGACTCTCACATAATATATGCAAAAGGACTTTCTGAAAACCCTTTACGAGACAGTACACTTGGTAGAGGTGCTTATGATTTTGTTGTGGAGATCTGCTCACACTCCTGAAACCAAGAATGTAGACAGAATATGATTAGAATGCCCAGTAGTGCTGTCAGAGTCCACTTTTAAATTTCCTGTGATCATTTGAAAGAAGCAAAGCTCCAAAGCTCCTTCTAGAAAGGTAGTGAACACAGTCAACGACTTACAGAGCCTGGCATACCATTTGCCTTTGCAAACTGAGTCCTCTCTGCTTGGTGAAGTTGCCTCTGAGCACCTTGACTCATAAGCAGGTCTTGGCTCATATCTGTAAGCATTGCAGAGACAGTGAGAAGGACTTGGCAAAATGAATTTTATGGTTAAGAATGAAGGAGACCTGCTTCCTGTGAAGCAAGTGAGAGAGTGTATCACCAGCCAAATTATTTCTGGCCAACGTGACTGAAGAACCAAGGATCCTGTTTTCTCTCTCTCTCTTTATTGCTCTCTCTCTCTCTATATATATATATATGTGTGTGTGTGTGTGTGTGAAAAATCCATGGATATGTTAATATACATATATTTTTAAACATATATATATGTTATATATATATATATGTTAAAAATCAGGTATTTTCAAGCATCCAGGGATTCTTTAGGGAGCTACACATTTTTGTGAAAACAGACTGTTAAATGTGTGAGGAGCATCTGATAGCCCCAGCTCTTCCCCTGGACTCTAAGGAAGTAATTCTGTTCCTTCTGTTTCTGAAGTACAGCCTCAGGTTCAGGGCTGGCTGGTCCCTTCATGAGATGCCCACTCTGCTGTTGCAGACTTCTGGCCCTTCTTGGATACTCAGTGACCGGGACGGAGATATACAGGGTTAGAAGGCAGTTTGGGAAGTTGGGAAAAAGGAAGCACTGGGGTGTCAGAAGAGGATTAGAAATGATAGAAATGAGGCTGCTTATCTGTCAGCAGCTCTCCAACTTCTCCTTGATGTTCTTCCTCATGTCTTCCATTGAGTGTTCACTCCTGGCTCCTGCTGGATGCTCTTCCCAGCTTCCCCTTCCTGGACCTCACTGACTGGCAGAGCACATTAAGTTCCAAGGCCGCTATTCCAAAACAAGGTCCCAAGACTCTGTTTGTGAACCCCAGACACTTTCCCCTGGTCTTTCCAGTTCGCGGGTGGTGTTCCAGGACTTGCATTGTTTTGTTCGCTGAAAGGTCAAGTCCTGTAGGGCTTCATCTGTCCAGGCTGGTGGGGCTCTGGCTGGCAAAGCAAATGCATCAGATCAGCCTGGCCATATTCAGGGAGGGCCAGGCCCGTTGGCACACACTGCAGGGCTGGCATGGGCTTTGTGGGAGGCTGGCCTGAGCCACAGACGGTGGCACCAACAGTCCTGTTTGTTCTTCAGCCCCTGGCAAAGCCTAAGCAGATTGGATTCCTGTCCTGTGGAACACAGATGCTTCCTCCAGAGCCCACCTGCCCAGGCAGTGCTCCACCTTGGAGCAGCACAGTCAGTTTGGGAAAAAGGAGGACTTGTCCCTGAGAGCCCCTTCTCTTCTCCATTCTTGTGGTTACTCCATTATCTCCCCTCTGTCCAAATTCATTTTCTCGCCCTTCAGTGAACACAATAACATGTTGTCCAAGTGAGGCGTAATTGCCATATAAACAAATGGCTTAATGATAATAAATATTAGAGCATTTTCAGATATTTGATTTCCTTTTATTTTCCTAGTTTCCAACAGAATTTGCAAGTTAATTTTAATTTTTCTATTGGAAAGGGTATGGGACATCTGACCAGCAGGCAGGTGGGGAAGATGCAGAGTTTGTCCAACCTAAGAACCCTTATAAATAGCACTCAAGCAGTTCTAGCAGCCGTGATGGGACGTGGAGGCCTATTTCCTGCCTCTCTTGTCCATCTTCATTTTGAAGCACTGCGGAGCATTCCACCAGCTGTTGTAAGGAGCACCTGTGTTGTCACTATCATTGAGGTTTTGGGAGAAATCATTTGGTCATGCTTTTCCATGCAGTGACTGTGCCCACAGACCCTGTAAGAGCCATTGGGAACTATGTGCATGGTGATCGAATTAGAGGCCCATTTCCAGTTCTAAAGAGAAAGTTCAGTTGTGCTTTTGAGTTCTTAAGACAAAGTTATTAAAAGGCATGGCTAAGCCTGCCAAAATACTAACTGTAGAAATAGGTAAAGTTTCAGATACTAAGCAAGGAGCTGGCTGGGTGCCTCTTGCTATGCTTGGGTGAGAAATCATGATTAATAAAGGCCACAGAGACAGTGAAACCAACAGGGAGGTGGACCAGGCAAGAAGGAGAGAGATGGTCAACTACAGCATTCTTCCAGAAATATAAGGCATTTAAGGTTATGGCATAGCAGGCAGTATGTTCTCTAAAACTAGGACTGGGGAGAATGATGTAGTGTTTTGCAGAGGTAGGTACTTGATATTTCTGCTTTGATTTTGTTGTTAGAAAAGAGAAGTATATGGAGCATATGAAAGTGATATACTGTAAGAGACCAAAGACAATAAAACAGTTGAGGTCCGACCAGTCTAGGGTAGGTTTTGTCCTCTTCTGGGTGTTTCTGGGACTCTTAGGCCTTTAACTTCCACCTGAGTGCATCAGACACACTCTTCTGTACTCCTTTGGCCAGCAGAAGCAGCCTGATTTTAGTACTCGTTCGGAAGGGAGGTGCAGCTAGAAGTTTGTGTTTATTAAAGCCCAAGCGACTGGAGGTAAACGCAGGTATGACCAGGAAATGTAGCTGGTTCACCTCTCCCAGTAGGCACAAGGCCAAAGTCAGCAGACTTGCAGATTGTCATGCCGGTTCTCCCACCCAGAGGTTATTTGAGTTCATCCAGCACTGCAGCTGAGCAGAATGCTGCAGTCAGGGTGACACACTGCAAACTGGAGCCATGTCCTCAAGTGCATGCCAATCAAACCAACTTTAACCTTCACTGGTTTGTGGCTGCCGACCTAGAGAGGAATTTGTTACATGGCTGAGGTCCTGTCCTACCTAAGCCAGACTCCAGTGCAAAAAAAATCCTGTCAGATGCACCTCTCCTTCTCTGTCTCCATCTCCCTCTCTGCCACCCGTTTCCCCTTTGCTCTTTACTATTAATTGGCCTGGAGTTCCAGGGCTGAAGCAGAGTTTCCTTCTGTCCCCGTGTGTTTGCTGCTCTGGTTTGCTCTTCTTCCAGGGCCCCTTAGTAAAAGAAGAGCTGCTGACAGGGTAGTGTGGAGGTGGGGAAGTGACCACCACGCTGGGAGTGATGTAGGTTATAGGTCACCAGTGATGTAGGTTGCTGTCACCAGGACCCTCAAATCAGCTGTGACCAGAGCCTGCAATGACAATGTGAAGAAGGATCTCTTACCTCAGTTAGTGAGGTCCTATTCTTGTAGAGACAAGAACGTTTCTTGTAGAAACAGATAGCCAAGAAGTATCAACGATAACTCTGTACAGTGGAATAGAAGATCTGAGATTTTAATGAAAAGGATAGATTCAGGATAGTAGGAAGCTCTGAGTTGAGTTTGTAACATCAGAATATTAAAAGGCACAGCGAAGAGAAAGTTCTGGATTTCTAATGAGATTTCCAAAGTAGGCTATGTTTTTATCTCATTAGAATGGATTAGATTCAAGCCTATCAACACTAACTGTAGAAATAACTAGGTTTCAGATGCATCAAGGTGCTAGGTGTCTTGTTCCAGGTGTCTTGAGTATAAAAGGTCCTAGAGAAGAGATGTGGGTGGGCTCTGGGTCGTGTGTTTCTTAACTTTTAATCTGTAGCCCAGATGTTTGATTAGAGAACTTCCGAGTGAAGTTTGCTAGGTGGTGACAGTAAGATGGGAATCAGAGGAAAATGATTTTAATAAACTGGAGAAGTACTCAAAATGAAGTTCACTGAGGAGAATGTAGAATTATACCACCAGTTATGAATAGCTACACAAGTGTAAGAGATGGCTGTGAATAAACAAATGTACCAGAAAGAGCTGAGATTGAGGATGAGGCCAACATCCATCAGCAGTATGGGGCTGTGGTTGGAGCATCCCTGTCTAGGACTACAAATAAAGAGTTCAAGACACAGGGGTTGTCACTATATACCCCATGAATATGTACAATTATTTGTCAATTAAAAATATAATTAAATAATACCTAACAAATACATGGTTTGTGAGGCCATATCTTTTCTAGATGTGCCAAAATCTTCAGGCTAACAGGGCTGTAGGTAGACTTGTAGACTGACTCACAGATAAAGGAAATTTGAAATTGAACTTGTAGAGAGTAATTTAGAATTCATAATTATCTTTCAGTGTGTAAAAAACCCTGATGTGAAGATTGGTGCCAGCTGTTAGTCTTTGCTGAGGATGGAATGTAGTTTCAGCAGCCTTTGATGAGACACTAGGAATACTTGCCTGACTGTGGAAGTCATTAAATGATAGAAGGAGTTATTGAGGGAAGGTTCTGATTTTTTATGGGATATTGCAAGTAGACTATGTTTTCATTTCATGAGGGTAGTTGAAGTCCATCTACCCTAGCTGATGACTGAGAAGTGGTATTGACTATTCAGAGTCCCGTTTCTAACCCAGAGATTGCCTGGGCCCTGCCTGCAGACATCCACCTGCTTTTACATCCCCCGAGGTGCTCCCTGCCCCCGGGAGCTGTTTGCCACACCTGTCTGGGGATGTTTTTTCCAGGCGTGGACTAGCTGAGTCTGTGTAGATGCACTGATCTCATCAGATTGCACTTTCTTTTTGTTTTCTTCTCTCTTGCAGTATGAGTTTAAAGCCAAGAACATCAAGAAGAAGAAAGTGAGCATTATGGTTTCAGTGGATGGAGTGAAAGTCATTCTGAAGAAGAAGAAAAAGGTAGGTGGCTCTGAACCAGAATCTGAGGTGAAGAGGAAAGCAGGGGAGGTAGGCATGGGGTACCTTTTTCTTCCGGGCACCCCTCCAGAGAGAATCCCTCCCTTATCTGGCAAACTCTTCTGCTTTGAGCAGCAACAGTGCTGAGAGGCTGCTGCAGAGTGCAGGGTGAGGCGGGGCCAAAGGCCTAGTCACTGATTGGCTCAGTCAGTCCTGGTACTCCAGGTGATGGGAGTCACCTCCTGTCATCCATGCCTTCAAACCCCCTCCCCATTTTCATACCTTTATCTTTGAGTCCTGATGGTAGGAAATATTTTCAATTTTAGTGAGAATAGCAGGGTTCAGTGGGATTGGGCAGCAAGAGGAGGCTTCCTCAGCAGCTGTCCTCGTCGATTGCAGGAGCAACCTTCAGTCCCACCCCAGGTGCCATGCAGCCCCCACTCCCCGCCGCCCATGTGTGTCCTTGCATCCTGTTGCAGCCCATATTTACATCATCCCTCAAGACCCAGCCACTGCTGCTACTCCGTGTGCAGGGATGGTAGGGTGTGGCCAGGTCGGGAGGATGGGCAGGGGGATTCATCCATTCCTCTGAGTTGGGGAGAGACAAGCAAGTGAGCATATGCTGTTTAAACACTTCTCTGTTTTGTACCAGTTGTATGTGGTTGTGGCAGGGTAATATTAACCCCTTGGAAAGGCTAGATCCATTTGGTGGGAGGATGTGTGTTTCCAAAAAGAAACAGAAAAGAGCTTGGCTGATTGAGGATATGTGAGGAGTCCTTTTTGTCCCTGTTTCTCAATTCTGCTGATGTTTTTATTTTTTATTTATGATGCCTTTGTTTTACATTTATTGATGGTAGCACCATGTCATACTCCTACATAGACCTCCTGAGCTTCTTTTGGTTCCAAATCTCAGTTGCTCTTAATTCAAATGGGACTTAAAGCAGACCTTGAATCTCAGGGGTAGAGGGAGAGTGTGGAGGTTGTGGAAGCAAAGACAGATGCATCATAGTAGGCAACGTAAATTTGAAGAACCATATAGCTGAGAGGGATCTTAAAGGGGACTTATTATATCAATCCAAGGGTTTAAATCTTCTTTATAACGTCCTTACAAGGGGCATTGTCCAGTGTATGATCGGACACCTGTAGTAATGGGAAATTTACTACTTCCTGAGGCAGCCCCTTTCCTCTCTGGGTGGTTATAAAGGTCTCTTATATCTTAATCCAAAACTTGTTCTTTCATGCTCCCTCAAAACTTTCATTGGTGGTTTTAGAAAGTGTTTTATGGCTATGATGCTACAAGTATGTAGAAAAAAGATACACTGTTTATAAAAGAACCAACTTCTTCAAAATTCACAAGTATAGTGAATTAAATATATTTGCCTTTGTAACCTTTACTGTGTGCATGGGCCCTATCTTGTTCTTCCTCTGGGGACATCTGTTTTGCCTCTTCTCCTCTCACATGTATGTACGGAGTGGACAGTCATGGGACCGTCTTTAGAGTATTGTCCTCTAGGAGTTCCTCAGCAGGACAGTTGCTGAAGCAAGCCGAGGCCTGTCAAGCCCTGTTAAAGAAATTGTGGATGACAACAATACAAATTTGAGCAAGAGATATCCTCAGAGGAAAAAAATGGGCTAATTTTGTCACATGTGTAAGATGACTTTCCTCAGCCCTTCCTGTGAGGGGACTGGTGGCTCAGGGCCCTCATGTAACAGCCTATAAAATGATTGCTGTTTGTGGGCGCTTCCCAGGCTGCATGATGCTTTCACACCCATCGTCACCCAGCCCTTCAGCAGTCTCTGTGGACATTTCTGTTGGTCAGCATCATGGCTCCCAGTCACTGGGAGAAGCAGCCACACAGATGGTTTTCTCACTGAACAGCCCGCCAGAGGCTGAGCTGTCAGCCTTTCAGGTCAGAAGTTCAGATTCATCCATTTCGAACCTGTGAGCCTTAGGAGGCTAACTCACACTGACAAAGCTCAAAAGAGGCTGATATATGAACTAAACTAAGAGTTTCTTAATTCACTCTGACACATGCAACAGTCTCCTGGACCAAATACTCACACTATCCTGACAAGCATGTTTTCTTTCCACTAGAGGCAGGTGATGGGAGAAGGCAAATTATTATAGGGTTGCTGGGTGAGCATAGAAATGGAGCAATCAGCCTGCTGGCCTCAGGCTCCACAATAAATGGGGCCAGTGAATCTTCCTAGTGGCCCCATTGGGCAGGTGCTTTTCCTGGAGTCTGTCCGACAGACCCTGCCAGGGTTTGCTTCTGTGTCTCTCTGACTTCTATACTTCCACGGCTGACACTCCCAGAATCTTCCCACCACCTCACTACATATCCATTTCTGACTGACATATCTTTGTTTGCTTGCCTGCCTGCCTGCCTGCCCGCCCTCCCTCCCTCCCTCCCTCCCTTCCTTCCTTGGTGGAGTTTCGCTCTTTTGCCTAGGCTGGAGTGAAATGGTGCAATCTCGGCTCACTGCAACCTCTAGCCCCTGGGTTCAAGTGATTCTCCTGCCTCAGCCTCCCAAGTAGCTGTGATTACTGGCGCCTGCCACCACGCCCAGCTAATTTTTATATTTTTAGTAGACAGGGTTTCGCCATGGTGGCCAGGTGGTCTCAAACCCCTGACCTCAGCTGATCCACCCACCTCAGCCTCCCAAAGTGCTAGGATTACAGGTGTGAGCCACTGAGCCCAGCCTGTTTTCTTTTGATTAGGTTAAATGTAAACACCTGCTGTCCTAGGGGCTGCTCTGTCCCTTTCAGATATCTTCATACACCTCTGTTGTCCATCATGGGGAAACTTCATAGTTTTGTCCTTAGGGCACAGTCTTGTTTCCTACCTCACTGTCTCTCCCATGTACCTTTACCATATGTGGTGGCTTCCCCACTGTGCATGTGAGAAAACTGAGGTTGGATCACATGAGGCAGTGGTGCACTGAGGTATCACCTGTAGATAAGCTGCCCCGCCTCCACTAAGCACATGAAAACCAGGCTGGAGTAGCGTCTCCCTGAGGGAGTGCATGGGACCTCATGACTCACTTTGAAACTATATCCTGGATAATCTCCAGTGTGGTTTCACCCTCCTGCTGGCCCAGAAAAGAGACGGTCTAGCAGGTCTTTCCTAGATCTAACTCTTCTGATGCCAGGCTTGGGAAAATGGAGCCGCCCATCTTGTTTCCTGCACCCACACTTAGTGTCCGTTTCAGGGCCATGGCTGTGATTTGAATAACGCCTTTAATCACAGGGTTCATTTTACACCATCTCAGACAGATGAATGCACATGAACAGCAATCAGCCTTTTTGTCATCTTGTTCTCTTGTGACAGTTCTCTGGTATCTTAATGCTACCACTACACTCAGATACATGCACACTTTCTCTCTCTCTCTCTCTCTCTCTCTCTCTCTCTCTCTCTCTCTCTCTGCTTACAGAATTGAGAGAGGTGAGAGTAGACATGCTATTGTGTAAATGCACAATTTTCTCCAAGGAAATGGAATACTTGGCAAATTTCACTGATCACCATCATGATTAGCTTAAGAACTAGAGCTCTTTGCCAAGTAGCTGTAGGTGTAGAGACAGCCGTAGCCTGTGTTCAGCCGTGAGGCAATGGTACCATGTACGGCCTGACATTGCCCACTGATTTGTTGGTGCTCGTGCCAGGCTAGTGGGTAAAAACGTTGAATAGTCCTCTCCTCCCACAATTAGCTTGTTGATTTTCACTGGGTCAGTGTGACAAGCTGGGAGGAACCCTCAGCCCATTTGAGAAGACCTGGGTTTCAATCCTGGCTCTACCCTTCCTGGCCTGTGGTTCTAAGCATATTATTTTGCCTCTCTCAGCTTCAACTGTGAAGAGTTCAGTTAGGTGATCACTTTAGCTTTTCTAGCTCAAATACTCTGTGCCAGCTCTGGAACCATGCTTTTTGGTATTTGTGTGTATGTATAGGTCACCTGAATGTATTTAGGTCTTTGAGAACCTACTGGACTACCAACACCAACAACAACAAACCACAAAAACAAAACAAAACAAAACAAAAACAGCCCCTGGAGTCTGAGTGGATCACTATGTTGTTGTTTCCCAATCTTCTAGGGCAGGAGGGGACCCTCTGAGGTCCAACATCTCTGAAGCAGCCATCCAGCCTCCTCTTTCTCCAGCCTTTCTGTAACTGGTGAATGGTGATGTGTTTGCTGGCTGAGAACTGTGTTTATAGTGAGTCCCTGCCCTCCAGTGAACTTTTTAAGGGCAGGAGCCATCTTTGTAAGCCCAGCACTTGCCTGGGCACCAGACATATGTATTATGTTTTCAGTAATTGTGGCTGTTCGCTAGCTGCATGATTGAATATTATTTGTGTGTAGTAATGTCATTAAATTATGAAAAAATAAGTACTTAGCAATTGGATCAAATGAAGTCTAGTTTGTTACCTTTATCATATTGTCCTTCCTCTTTTTCTTCCTGTCAATCTGCCAGTTTAAAAGAAAGAAAGAAAAAAAAACAAGGATGAGATCCTTTCTCAAATATAGGAAGGCTTCCATAAAAATTGCTAATTCCATAGCATTAATTGTAGGATTTGTTCAGGTGACTGTAATCTTCAGGTGCATTATACTAGTGTTGGCAGTGGCCAGATATAATCAACTCTCATTGAGATGTAAAAAATATCTTTTTGTTTATAATAACAAATATCTAAAAATGCTGTCATCTTGAACTGATGCCAGTAGATCATGAATTTCAAATTCTTTATGAATCTTAGGTTGCATTTGTGATGTAAACTCAGTTACTAAGATAATTAGCTGTACTTTGATGTCTCTCAACCAGCACATTTTCTTCAACTCGCATCTAGGCTCAAGTAATTATCTTTTCCATGTATATATAATGATTAGTTATTATAATACTGGAATCACACTATAGCACCATTTGCTAGGGAGTGGAATCCTGAATAAGAAAGACTAGTCTTGAACTTCATCCAAGGGATTTTTCTAATAAAGGACCCAAAGGGTTTCAGTT